GTCAAGGTCACAGGGGCCTTGACTAAAAAAAGCTTGTCCGCCCAATAACTTAAGATTTCTTTGACCCACAGTCTTCATATTTGGCATGGAGGTTAATCATGATTAGTAAATGACCCCTATTGATTTTGATGTCACCAAGTCAAAGCTCAAGGTCACAGGGGCTTGACTAAAATAAGCTTGTCCACCCAATTACTAAAGATTCCTTTGACCCACAGTCTTTAGATTTGGCATGGAGGTTAGTCATGATTAGTAGATGATCCCTATTGACTAAGAGGTCACTGGGTCAAAGGTCAATGGGGCCTTGACTAAAAAAAGCTTATCTGCCCGATAACTTAAGATTCCTTTAACCCACAGTCTTCATATTTGGCATGGAGGCTAGTCATGATAAGTAGATGATCCCTATAGATCTTGAGGTCACTGGGTCAAGGTCAATGGGGCCTTGACTAAAATTATTTTGTCAGCCAAATAACTTAAGATTCCTTTGATCCACAGTCTTCATATTTGGCATGGATGTTAGTCATGATAATTAGATGACCCCTATTGATGTTGAGGTAATTGGGTTAAAGGTCACAGGGGCCTTGACTAAAAAAGCTTTTCCGCTGGATTACTTAAGAATGCTTTGGTCAACAGTCTTCATATTTGGTCTTGAGGTTGTTTTTGACTAGTAGATGACCCATATTGATTATAGGTGAGTGTGAAAAAAGGTCAAGTCACAGGGATTTTTACTATAATAAGCTTGTCTGCTCAAATGCTTAAGAATGCCTGTCCGCAGTGTATTCATTTTCACATTTGAAGCATGTAGAATACATAACTTAGCAATGGCTTAGTAACCTCAGATTTGGCAGGGAGGTTGTCCTTGAGCTCTAAATGGCCACTTTAGATTCTGACAAAGTGGTATGCGGCGGTGGGGGGAGGGGGGCTGTATTCACGCCATGACAATGGCAGTTTTAGTAAATATAGTTTTGTATAGATTAACATGCCTGTATATTTGTAGCACTGCCTATTGTATTTAGTAGACCTCTATAAGTTTTATCAATAATGCATTTGGAGTATAAAATGCCTCCACCTTTGAGGTTATTTAATATCATAAGGATGAATAAGATAAAACATTTTTCAGACAAGTTTCTTAATTGGGTCTCTACCCTTATTGAAAGATTATTTATGATTACTGAGACAAATTTACATATATTGCTCCAGCTTTGATGTGCGCTTGTGTTTACAATAGCAAAAGGTCATGGCTTTGTCAAATTATATACAAATGTATGTTTATAGTTTTTAGCATTTTTTCCTCCCATGACTCAGTGAATGGGTACCTTTTTGCAAAATTTGTTACTTAAAATAATTTTGGCCGAGGGCATTTGTATTTACCAAAGACGTTGTTGTTTTTGTTTTCAGTATTTTAGTTCGGACACAGGAGGGTTACCAGTATCTGTACAATGTGTGGGGCTACCATTCCAAGAAGAGCTTGTGTTACGTGTGATGAAAGAACTAGAAACAGGACTAAAACAATTGAAGGAGTAAAATGAGATTATATAGGAAAATATATGATGGTTTTTAATACAAAAAATATCCATGGAATAAACAAGATTATTTTAGCCAAAATTTGTGTCATTATTAATTATAAATAAACCAGTGTTTACATTTGTCAAAGTTCACAAAGAAGTTTCAGCGAAAAATATTTAAAATCTGTTTTAGTGAAACAGAACAGCATTTTATTTCTAGAAATAAAATTCCTAGAAATTAAGTAAGGATAGTCTGAAGATTTTGATTGTCTAGATAGTCTACGGGGGGGGGGGGGGGGTGGTAATCATAATTGAAGGTCAATATCCAGTGCTAATAACTCTCATGGATTTTGACTGAACTATGGCCTTTTTTTTTAAATTCTTAGTTCAAGTTTTTTGATACCACAGCAATCTTTATAACTATAGAAGGTATTCACATGAAACTTAATACATGTCTTTGGAATCATAATTGGAAGTCGCTATCTTTTTGACTTTGTGAATTTAGAAAATGTTTGGTTAAAGTTTTGCTTGCCACATTAATCTTTCATAAAACTACTTATTAGTCCCCTACCGGTTTAACCGGAGGGGACTTTAGGTTTACCCTCCGTCCGTCTGTCCGTCTGTCTGTCTGTCCGTCTGTCTGTCTGTCCGTCTGTCTGTCAGTCCGTCAGTCCGTCCGTCCACAAAACTGGATCCCGCGATAACGCAAAAAGTACTGAAAATATTTTTATGAAACTTGATATATGGATAGATGGCAGTATGGAGATTATGCACGTCTTTTTTTTTTTCTTCCTATGTTGAAAATTCTGGTTGCTATGGCAACAAATAGTCTGAAAAATATGGCAAATTTAACACATAAACTGGATCCAGTGATAACTCAAAAAGTACTGAAAATATTTTTATGAAACTTGAAATAATGGGTAGATTGGCAGTCTGGAGATTATGCACATCTTTTTCTTTTCTTCCTATGTTGAAAATTCTGGTTGCTATGGCAACAAATAGCCTGAATTTCAAGATTTTCTGATTTAAATTTTTCAGCTTTTTCACTATATGTTCTTTATTTCTTAAGGTGTTTACTTCAAACTTTAAATATAAGTTTCTGGTCATCAACCACATCATATGTGACAAGGTTTATAAACTCTAGCACAAAAAATATCAGTATTACCTCCCTTGAACTTAGATTTTTTAGGGGAAAAAATGTTGTCTTTTTTTAAATAACTTCTTTATTTCCTAATGTATCTACTTCAAACTTCATATATATGTTTTCTTATTATCACTCGACATTTTTGAGAAGGTTAAATACTCTAGCAAGACTATTTCCAGAATTATGTCCCCTTGAACTTAGATTTTTTTTAGAGAAAACTGGTATTTTCACTCCAACTTCTTCATTCCTTATAGGATTTACTTTAAAATCCCACATCGTAATAATATGACAAGGTTGTATAAACATAATTTCCTTACTAAGCATGGAAACTTAACACATTACTGTGATATAGACAAACTTATTTTATTATGTTTTGTGGTTGATATTTTCAAATACAGACTTCATCCTCAAATTCATTATAAATGGCAATACACAGGAGTGTATGACAAAGAACTTTTTGAGGGACCGGTAGGGGACTACTGTATTGCCCACAATACTATCAAATGCTTGTTGTATATTCACTTGAAACTGGATTTACACTGCAAGGTGACTTTCCAAAACCCATAACTCTGGCATTAATTTTGGATGACTTTAGGTAAAGGACCGACAAAATTCTTTGGTCAATATCCAAGGCTTAAACTGTCACTTTTTGTGACTGAAATCTTCCTCTTTGTTTATGAATCTTTGTTCATGAATCATACATTTTCTAGGCTTTTAATTTTACCATCAAGCACTGAGAATAGTCGGACACACTTATCAACAGCTCTTGTTGTTCTGTTCTGACCTAATCAAATATGGACTTACAAAATTCACACTGAGGTAACAGTCAAATATTTAACGAAAATACAGTGTAGTAACAGGAGTGTAGGACAAAAGCTTTCCCCCTCCCCCCCCCCCCCATTTTTGGAAAATACAGTGTAGAGTGTCAGGGGACTATCTTAAAACATTGCTGAATCAGAATTTAAAAAAAAATGGAAAGCAATCTGTTTTATACTTGTGATAATATAAAAATTAACTTATGGTGCTTAGCAAAAGTTGAGTAGTATAGTACTGGTAAACTGCTTGACAGTCTTATTTAATTTGTCTACCCAGGAACGATGCAGTGGCTGAACTGTGCTCTGGTAAATTCAATGTGGCTTACAGCCGTGAACCTGAGTGAAAACTAGCAACACCACCACCATCAAACCTCGTTTTTCAGGGCGTTCGTTGCCGAGTGGTTAATGTCTCTGACTTCTAGCCACTTGACTCTCACCGTTGTGACAGGGACTTTGGATTCTTCATGTGAGTAGGCTATCCAGCTAGCTTACGGAACGTCGGTACGTGGTTCTACTCGTTCGTGCCTGAAACAATGCATGGAGGGACACCTGAGGTCTACCTCCACCAATAAAGCTGGAAAGTCGCCATAATTATGATCTATACTGTGTTGGTTCGACGTAAAACCTAAGAAAAATGGCATCTTTTCACCAATTTAGCATCTGATTCTTTATAGAGACAAAATAAATGAATAAATAAAATCATTTCCTCCATGACCTTGAGATGAAATTGGAATAGTTATGTTTAGCTCAGCCATCAAGAAAGGTTCTTACCGCCAACCTTCCGCTATTTAACCCTTTACCTCATATATACGCGAAACAACGCACTTTCAACCCCACCCCCTCCCCCCTTTTTAGGCCTGAAATAGTGAAAAAATGTCCTATTTGGGCCCCAAACACATGTTTTCGTTTGAGAAATGTTTGCTAAAAAATGAGCACTTTTTTCGGCGCCGCCCCCCCCCCCCCCCCCCCCCCATCCAAAAGATACATCAGGAGGTTGCCAGAAGGGGGATGTGCCCCTTCTGTTTGGGGGGTTTGAAGGGGGGCGGACTTGTGAGACGCTAAAAATGACCCCAGGTCGATCATAAGGTAACGTGTAACCAACGCTGAAAAGCCTTTGACTCTATCTCAATCCCTTGAGAAGTTGCAGCACTTTGAAATAAATTTTGATGCAAAAAATCGAGGCAAAATAGTGATTTTTGGCAATTTAGAGATGTCCCCTCGTTGCCATGGTAACCGGAAATTTAAGACTGAGCATGTCGTTACAAAGGCAATGGTCCAGTCAACATTTGTGCCAAGTTTGATTAGTATTGAAGCATTTTTCATAGTTTCATAGCAGTTTGAACTTGTAACAGGAGGCTTTTCAGTGAAAACGGCCATTTTTCACAATATGCTCATGAGGGAAAGGGTTAACTCTGAAATGGAATGGCTAAATATACCTACCTAACAATATTAAGTAGCTCTTTATTTAAGAATTGACAACTTATGTAAGAATTGAAAATGAAGTCTGCAATTAAGGGTTCAACAAAATTTAATTTAACAATTATTTATTTATTAACGCCCTCAAGTTACATACCCTTGTAAATATTGATCAAACGATTGACCACGGTTTAATTGAAATGATTTGTATGTTATCAGTCTATATATAAACAGGGAAGTAAATTGAATGACGTTTTACAAAGAAAACGATATCTTATAAGTTACGTGAAAATGTAAATGGAATAACAATTATAGAAAATGAGCGGATATAAAACCAAGTTAATTGTTGCTGCCATAGATTTTGGAACAACATATTCAGGATATGCTTATTCGTTCAAAGATGAATACAAAAAGGATCCATCGAAGGTTTTCTTTACTTTCGATTTTGTTTCTATAGATCTCTTTTAATGTTGAATAATAAAGACAGCTCCAGTAGAATTTATTTTTATATCGTCATAGTACGGAATACCGTTAGGGCCATCGTGGTTATACGTTAAAAGGGCGACAGTGCGATGACGACAATGCGACAGTGCGATTACGACAATGAGATAGAACGATGACGACAGAGCGATAGTGTGATCGCACTGTCGCCGTCGCATTGTCGTCATCGTACTGTCGTCATCGCATTATCGCACTGTTGCCATCGCATTGTCGCACTTTCGTCATCGCGTTATCGCATTGTCGACTATCGCCTTCTGGTGGACGGTTCTAAGCTGCTGGCGAATAAGCTGCAGGTATAGAATATGGGATAATTTTGCTTTTGTCAAGAAATCTTTTTCTTCTTGTTTTTTCTTTTCCTTTTTATTATTTTTTTTTGTTTGTTTCTTTTCTGTATACTAATAATGTTTAAATAAAATTATAAATTAATAATAAGAATCATTTTATATTTAAATACTGAGAGAGTTATACATAGACGGAAAATGTAATAAATTGTGTGAAATTTTAATATACAGTGTAATAGAAATATTTCAGATGAAAATGATCTTCTGTTGACATTTAAAAGATGCAAAAAAACTTTAAATCATTGTTTATTACTTGTTTAAAAAAAGACAAACAAATTATATTCATAGATCATCATCAGTGGTTTTATTGTTTTGCAACATGTATAAAAATATATATTACTAACATTGTAAATAAAGATACATGTAATCAGAAATTTACGTCAACACATAATTTTTTCTATATATCTAACATAAGTGGTCAACAATTTTCACTTTAAGATTAACTTAACAGCAGATCCTACTATAAGTTTAACTGGTCAGCATATTGTACTATAGCCAACTGATTCCGCTGGTGGACATAGTGAGACTAATAATATCTTGTCATATTTTGCGGTTCGGTTTGGAATATCCGTCCCGAGGTGACCCGCCCATGGGCGGGTGACCGAGGGACGGATATTCCGATCCGAACCGCAAACATATGTCAGATATTTTTTCTTGCATATTCTACCATATTCCATTATATTTTAAATTCTTTATCTTTATTTTCAATGAAAATTTATATCATTACAACCGTAACTACTTTCATTCAACAGCGTATGAATTACAAAATCATTAATAACGGTAAAATGACGTCATCTTTATCGTGCCATTGTACAGCACGCGACTCATCTGGAACCCCCCATGCCAGATGAAATTTCTGGCATGGGTAAAACTAACGGAAACGCCAGTCTGATATGCAAGAAAATGTGTTTCAATGTTGAAAAACACATCTATCCATTATATTTAATACTGTTTATTATTTTTTTTTAAGGGAAACATGCAAAATTCGAATTACCAACTACCTGCCGGTAGGTAGTGGGGAATTAAGAATAACTAACTACTAGCTAGTAGGTAGTAGGTTATTCGAATAACCAACTACCTATCAAATTGACGATCCTTTAAATTTTTATCAATATCTAAGATGGAGCCATTTTTGGTGATTGGTGAACATAGCGCGTTTATATTTCTTAAAGATAGTAAATAAAAATGATTAAATAAAAAAAATAATAAAGATATACTAGATTTCTGTGTCCACTTGTTTTAGCCAAAGTGATTTTAGCTCAACCTTGAGAAACTGCTTTTGCAATGTTAATAAAAATTGGTTTATGGTTTATGCCATATTTTCTTCTTATACTATGTGGTCAGCAGACTTAACGTACGCTGCTTTAGGTACACATGTATATTAGGATCTGCTGACCAGTTAACCCATTACCGCATAAGCATTTTGTGAAAATTGAAAAAAAACCCTGTTACACAAGTTCAAATTGCTATGAAACTATAACGTCGGTGGTTCTACTTAGGTACCCGTTTGTGCCTGAAATAATGCACGGAAGGGCATCTGAGTTCTACCTCAACCAGTAAACTGGAACGTCGCGATATGACCTATACTGTGTCGGTGCGACATAAAACCCAATCAATCTGTACGTAATATGTAAATCAAATACTGTAACAACTATAAAACTATAAAAAAATGCTTTTATACTGATCAAACTTGGCACAAATATTTACTGAGCCTAGCATTTGTTACCATGACAACGAGGGACTTTCAAAATCACTTTATGTTGTGTTAATTTTTTCCATCAAAGCTACAACTTCCCGATGGGTCGGGATAAAGTGAAGGGCTTTCAGCGTTGGTTACACGTTACCTTAAGATCGACCTGATGCCATTTTGAGCCTTTCACAAGTCCAGATTTTTCTTGGAGTTGAGTGGGGCGGCAGTCCCACTTCAAACACCCCTGCAGAAGAGGGCACCCCCCTCTCTTGCACCCCGATGTATCTTATAAATAGGGCATGGTTTTCACTATTTGATGCATCAAAAGGGAGGATGAAAAGGCGTGAAAACACGTCTATATGAGGTAAAAGGTATAACATATAGTAAAATATTTTGACCAGCTACACTTACAAGGAAAACAGTTGACCAATTAGATATCTAGAAAAATATGTTATTTTGCAAGCATTATGTTAGTTAATATAATAGATTCTACATCTCGCAAACCAATCAAACCACTGCTGAGAAACTAAAATATAAAAAAAATGCTTGTGTGGTTTTTGCGTATTTTCTTCTCATTCTATATGGTCAGAAGATTTAACGTCAGTTAGATTTATTATGAACTACAGTATATTAAGAATTATAGAGAAAACTTATGATTTAGAAATGAAATGCGTATTTTCATTTACACTGTAAAATTTGTTCTTGACTGCAGTGAAACATATTTTCCGTATTTTCACTTGTGACTTGCCGGACTACGTTCTTCTAGATTCAGCCGATACACAAAATTTAAGGCTAAGACTATCAAATTGTATCAGTAATGTCAAAAATAGAAAAAGTACATGTATATAATAATAGCGCAACTCATGAAATATGTATTTTCATACCACTCGATAAAAATAAATCCTACATTTATAGAAAAAAAACTTGAATATCCTCTATGTAGTACTGACGCATTAAATATTTTTTGCATCTTTTAAATTTCAACATAACATCATTTTCATCTGAAATCTTTCGACTTTTTTAAAGTTTCACACTGTTTATTACATTTTCGTGTATTTTATAGAAGTATTTCCCCTATCTAAGAATTTAATTCAATTAAAGTATCGATACTTTGGCAATATTAATTTTGTCCCCTATCTTTTGATATAAAATGTTACTTTTTATTAATTTATAATTTTTCAGTATACAAAAAAAAGAAACAAAAACAAACAAGAAAAGGAAAGATCTATCGTATTGTCGCCATCGCATTATCGAACTGTCGTCATCGCATTGTCGCACTGTCGTCATCTTACTATCGCACTGTCGTCATCGCACTGTCGTATTGTCGTCATCGCATTGTCGCATTGTCGCCCTCTGGATTAGAAAGTCTAATCACGATGGCCCTAACGGTATTCCGTATCATAGTAAACATGCTTCGACTGTACAAATATTTAATATCAAGTGAAAACTAAATATACAAAAAACGCCAAGTGAAAGCGTATTGTTAAAATACTTTTGAATTCATTACATTACGGATTAATGTACCGAACAAAAACATCCAACGAGTTTCTTTAAGTTAACGTTGTCAATTGTTATTACATCAAAATGATCTCAATTGGCTTACGTTTCTGACATTTTTTTTTATAAATTATAATGATCATTTGAAGAGATAGAAGCAGTCGATTGGTCACTACCCCTTTGATGCAGATCAAATAAATAATGATATCATTGAACTTTCAACAGTTTACAAAAATTGAAGGTAAATCTATATACAAGTCGACCTATATCGTTCAAAAAATCAAAATCAATAATTAACTTAGTGTCAATCGAATTCTATTGGAAAATGATATACAATGAACACTGTGTCACGGTCTGTATAATGCATTGAGAGACATAAAAGTAATACGGAAGAGTATTATAATGTCCGAGAAGTATAAATGTGTCCTTCACTATTTTCATTGTAACATAATATTGTTATTTAAAACTTGCATACTGAAGTAGGTAGCCATCTATTCTTTCAGATATTTGCCAACAACAGTTGGTCTGACGGTACTAGTATGAGGACGTCAAAGGCACCTACTGTTATTTTATTCGACAACAAAGGAAAATTCAATTCGTTTGGATATGACGTATGAAAATTTTAGTACTATTGTATTTTTAACATTTAAATTGTATGTGTGTAAATCATTCTTATTCCTTCTATAATATGTTTTCCTTGAATGGGATTGTCAAACTCATGTCTTCTTTTTTCAGCTTTTAAAGTTCTATACTTAATGGCTTTCAAATACATTTTTGTGTATAATATAGGCCGAGACAAAGTATGCAGAACTTTCTGAAGATGAAGAACATATTGGCTGGAAGTATTTTAGGTGTTTCAAAATGAAATTATACGAAAAAATGGTAAGGGGTTTATAAAATTATACGTAACAATAAGAAATTTGTTACTTGATGTGATAAAGCTTATAACATGAAATAAAAGTATATAGATTTAAAAAAAAAATAATATTAAAAGTTGAGAATATTGATATTAAATATTGCTTAAAATTTTGTCAATAGATAAAGTCTTGAAATCTTTACTTTATATCAAAATGCTTTGATTGTCAACAGAATCTTCGGCGGAAAATGATGCTTTCAGATGACCAGGGAAATCGAATGCCAGCCTTAGATGTTTTTTCTGAAGCAATTAAATACTTAAAGGACCATCTTATGAAAAAAGTGCAAAGCAGAATTGAAGATATACGTGACACTGATATACATTGGGTTCTTACAGTACCCGCAATATGGCATGATGGCGCTAAACAATTTATGAAAGAAGCAGCAGCAAAGGTTAAGGCCTCTTAGAATTGTTCACTGAAACCGTAAATGAGTTTATCTTTCGGCCTAAGAAGTAAATGCACATCGAGTTAGCTTGTTTTGACACGACATTACATTATATCTTAATACAGAGACCAATATATCTCATTCTACATTTTTTTATTTTTTTTTTCATTTGGCCATACAATCATTAGTTAAGAAATGAATGAACATACTATTCAGTTTATTAATTAGCTCTCTGTATTCAGGCAGGAATTCCAGAAGACCAACTGACATTGGCTTTGGAACCAGAAGCAGCCGCCATATATTGTAAGGAATTGATGGTTTCAAAGGCGAAAGAGCAAAATGAGGAAGCAAACTTACAGATTTTTGATCCGGGTTCTCAGTTCATAGTGCTAGATTTAGGAGGTTAATTTTCTTTCATAGTTCTTAAATTGTCATGGTATTTTCAATGAACAATGGTTGAAATTAAATGAGTGACAACCGCCTTGATTCTTACAACAATCGGTTTATTTACTAATGTTTACTAGCAATTGAAGACATGAGTACTTAAACATACATTTTAGTAATGTTTAATTACATTTTTATTTATAATTATCTATTGTAATTAAGAAAATACGTATACATGTATATTGATTCCAGAAAGTAAATTATATGTATCTATGATAAACTACTTTTTTAATATGTGCTTATATTAAAACTTTGACACTGAATCTACGTTTATTTAGGCGGAACAGTTGACATAACTGTTCATGAAGTACAAAGTGATGGTACTCTAAAGGAGCTGCACCCTCCGAGTGGTGGACCCTGGGGTGGTACAGTTGTTGACAAAGGGATACATAAATTTTTAGACGAGCTGTTTGGTAAAGATGTTATGGCAGAATTCAAAGAAGAGAGCGAATATAAAGTAGATGATCTTGATTTACAGAGAACCATTGAGTTAAAGAAAAGAAAGTTCAAGGATGACGAAGACAAAGTCAAACTTAAGTTGCCAGTGGCGATGTACGAACACTTTGAAGGGAAAACAAGCACAAGTTTCGCATCAACTTTACCGATGACAAAGTTTGCTCGCTCTGTAACAAAGAAAAAAGACAGGCTCATTATTGAAAATGATATATTCCTGCAAATGTTTAAAAATCCAAAAGACTGTTTAGTGAATCATGTTGAAAATATGCTTCGAAAACCTGCACTTCGAAAAGTGAAAAATATAATAATGGTTGGTGGATTTTCAGAGTCTGAAATAATGAAGAATGCCGTAAAACATGCCTTTCCTACAAAGAAAATAATAGTTCCAGACCAACCAGAAATAGCCGTTGTGACGGGTATGTATATGATTTGACTTTACTTCAATACGAGGGATGATCCGGAATGTGTTTATAGTTTTAATAAATTTAATGTTTACTTAAATAGATATATACATGCGCAAAAAATTAATAAGCACGGAAACGCCACAGCGGCGCAGCTCAAAAACGTTGATTCGTTGATTTTTTTTTTATTTTATGCTTTGAGTGGATTACTGATCTTTATTTTATGTTTTTAAGTGGATTACTGATATATCCGCAAAAATTATTTTTGATAATTTCACAGAGAAAATTATCAAAATACATGTATAATTTCACACTTTTCAATGACAAACTATTTTTTTAAGATTTTCCCCATGTGGTACCTCAATTTTGTTTTTGCTGACAATTATGACAATGTCAGGCTGTTTAGAGAAAATCAAAGTTGAAATTGATAAATAACTTAAATGTCAAAAGTAATGAAAAGAAGAAAACTTACTTCTATTCATCCAAATTACCAATCACCAAATATCGTTTCTTTTTTGTTTTTGTTTCATTTTTACAGTCTGAAAAATACATTCCTTCCACATGCAAAACTGCTGTAGATGACATTTATGCATATTTAAGTATCCTACGAGCAATAACTGCCGTATGCTTTATGAAAACTTAAAAAGCAATGACAGTCCGAAGAATAGGTAAACAATCCAGCGTTCGTAAGGCAGCCTTTCAACAATTCCAAGTTTCCAATTTCTTAAACGTTTTTTCAATGTTTACACATCTGTCAACACTTATATATTGTCTGTTACAATCCTCAAATAAGTTTTCTTTCTTTTAAAAAGGTGTATGACTAACAAATCCAAATGATACCTCTGAATCAATCACAATCATTTTCCTTCCGTGAAATACACAATTTTCAAAAATGGCGGACGCTTACATTTAACAAAGCCAGGTCAATATAAATTCGCAGTAAGTTACAGAAATATGGATGGATGGTTGGACTTTTTCTCCTTCTAGAATTGTTTGTTTTTCTTATTAAAACAAGCGATCATTCATATTTATTTAAATAAAATGAATAACACCGAGTCCAATCGTTCACTATGTTTCCCAGGCGGAGAACGCATGAAGAGATCAATTTTACAGGTGGAAAACCGATACTGTGGTAAGAAAATTGTCTTCAATTTCTTTGACAATGCATATTTCACAAAACTTTATAGCCTATTCTGATCTCGTATAATTACTTTATCCGACAGGCATCTCAAACTCGCCAAATCTTTGTTAAATTATTAGAATCATTATCGACAACTGCACAAGAAAAGTGTCACAAATTTGGTAAATCGCTCTTTGATAGCCAATAATTGACATCCAAGCAAACTTCTAAACACTTTATATCGCTCTAAAGGTTCTTTATGAACATTATCCTCATCCACCAAAAAGCCTGTTCTATTTCAATCTTCGTATTTTTTGGATTAATATCGTTTAAGCGAATTTTCAAAAATGAACGCATGAGCCGAACTTTTCATGTGGTTTCGTAGGTTTGCATAGTGAACGCATGAGCAGGTGGTATTTTTAAAACTCCAGTTTTTTCTTATTATCTAACGAATTTAACATATTCAAACTATAAAAATTTCAAATATTATTTCAAATAAGTGAGACACTTCTTTTTTACAAATTAAAATATACTTTGTACGCTGTATGTATATATATGATAATAAGCAAAAGCACGAGGTCTGTTGGGAAAGATCGTGTGAAATTGAAGTAATTCAGGTCTGTGAAGTTGGCTTGTACATTGTACATCGTAGTTCAGCTAGTAATTCGCCAATATTTGAATTATTAGCTAGTAGTTGGGCATTCAGCGTGTAGTTCGAAACAAACACACTAAGATACATAATATTTGAATTACTAGCTATTAGTTGGGTATTCAGCGTGTAGTTCGGAACAAACACACTAAGATACATAATATTTGAATTACTAGCTAGAAGATGGGTATTCAGCGTGTAGTTCGGAACAAACACACTTACATACATAATATTTGATTTACTAGCTAGTAGTTGGGTATTCAGCGTGTAGTTCGAAACAAACACACTAAGATACATAATATTTGAATTACTAACTAGTAGTTGGGTATTCAGCGTGTAGTTCGGAACAAATACACTAACATATACAATTTTTGAATTACTAGCTAGTAGTTGGGTATTCAGCGTGTAGTTCGAAACAAACACACTAAATTAAGATACATTATATTTGAATTACTAGCTAGTAGTTGGGTATTCAGCGTGTAGTTCGGAACAAATACACTAACATACACACTATTTGAATAACTAGCTAGTAGTTGGGTATTCAGCGTGTAGTTCGAAACAAACACACTAAATTAAGATACATAATATTTGAATAACTAGCTAGTAGTTGGGTATTCAGCGTGTAGTTCGAAACAAACACACTAAATTAAGATACATAATATTTGACTTACTAGCTAGTAGTTGGGTATTCAGCGTGTAGTTCGAAACAAACACACTAAGATATATAATATTTGACTTACTAGCTAGTAGTTGGGTATTCAGCGTGTGGTTCGAAACAAACACGCTGTTAGTGTATTTGTTCCGAACTACACGCTGAATACCCAACTACTAGCTAGTAATTCAAATATTATGTATGTTAGTGTATTTGTTCCGAACTACACGCTTAATACCGATCTTCTAGCTAGTAATTCAAATATTATGCATGTATAAGTGTATTTGTTCCGAACTACACGCTGAATACCCATCTTCTAGCTAGTAATTCAAATATTGTGTATGCTTGTGTGATTGTTCCGAACTACACGCTGAATACCGATCTACTAGCTAGTAATTCAAATATTATGTATGTTAGTGTATTTGTTTCGAACTACACGCTAAATACCCAGCTACAAGCTCAGTGTGGCCATACCACGTGACATTTACGTCATTTTTGGCATCATTTCCAAGACAAATATTGCTCGATTCGGAAAAGAAAATAGCCGTAAATATTTTATTTCTGTACCAATATCTTTGGGATATGCACCAGTCTACGGGGAAAAATATAAGCTTTCCTCAAAATATTGGATCTTCGTAAGTTTATAAGCCGTTTGATCAAACACTTTGCATAACCTTGGAAGTTGCTTGTATTAGAGCGGGCTTCAGTTGCAATTAAGCTATTTCGTTTTCTGGCGTTATTTGGTCTACGCCATGATAAATAGGTCAGGTTTACATCAACCGGGGGTACAGACAGCAAAATCCTACCTTAATATGTTTATATGGTTATTATTTATGGCGTAAATCTTGCCATTTTCTTTAATTGTCAATTCTGGCACCAGTTCCAAGTCGAAAAAAAGGACTTCAGTTTAAAGCAGATTTATGAATCTGTTGCAAATGCGAAGCAACATGCCTACCGTTCGTTCTCTATAATTATGTTAACCTAAAAAACATTTGTTATTTACTGTACGATTTACATAAACACAAACGAATATTTAAATGATTTTTACTTGCTGCGCTATAAGTGATTTTAAAAGTCGAAAAATTGTTGTCTGTACATGTGTATTTGTAAAGAAATTGATTTGCTCTTTTATCATTGTTCTTTCACGGTAATGATTATGAAAAATCTATATGTGTCATGTAGCAATACTAAACGTATTCAAAATAGAGAGAAAACAGAAACCAAATACGGCAAAATTGACTTAGCTAGAATGTCCAATGAACATGCAAATTCAGGATCACTTCCATTTTTATGCTGTAAAGCGTTAATGCCTCAACGCGGCAATTTCAAAGTCAAAGGGTATTCTTTTGTAAAGAGTTATTTATACGTATAACCATAATGTTATAAACATGTAGCAATGTTTAAGTATAATAGTTTCAGCTTTTTAATACAGTGTCACTCGTTAAGAAAAAAAGATTTTACATCCTGTACGTTTTCATACCAATGGTAACCGTTTTTTTCTGAACTAGATATAATTTCGTTTACTTAAGAACACTAAACACTATTTATTTTATCATTGCATTTATTTCTGTTGATAAACTACATATTTGACAAATTTAATTAATTATATCAATCCATCGAGCTTTATCAGAGAGCTCACCAATACACATTGTAAAGAGAGGAAGGGAACGGAATATTTATGGTTTGAAAACATTTAAATCGAGTAGAATTTTAACAATAATGTCTCTTCCAACTGAATAAAAACGATAGGGCTATTTGGGACTATTTCTTATCGATGTGGTCATTGGATGTAAATGCATGGATTATTGAACGCGGCATGACCTGCAGATGTCCTTAACAGGATTTTTGTTGCATTTTAAGATTTAAAAAAGGACCACATATAAAAATCTAAAATATGATAAACATAATGCATATGCCAAATAAGTGAATTATCTGATATGTAAATAAAGAAATAAGTCATTTGACAGTTGAAAAATAAAAATTGAATATACTCTTCAAATGTAATCGTAATTTTACTATGTTAGCTTTCAATAATTCAATGAACGCATCAGTGTCATATTTGGATCCAGTCGTGTTGCTATTACATATATTTTAATGTAAATATTTATATAATTATTGATAATCATTGTTATGTCCGACTTTTAGAATGTTTTGTTTCAAGAAATTTGACTTTGATCGATGGCTGTTGGTTTGTAAAATCATTTATCTGTTTACTATTTTCTACTTTGTTTACTCCACATGGCGTCCATTCTCGTTTTTAGCTCGGCTATACGAAGTATATGGAGAGCTGTCCTACTCGCCCCGGCGTCGGCGTCCGCGTCCGCGTCCGGATTTCAGATTAAAGTTTTAATGCAGTAAAATATTTTTCACTATAACTTTGTCATTTCTTAAGGTATCAACTTCAAACTTCAAATATATGTTCCTTATCATCAACCACATCTTATGTGACAAGGTTCATAACTCTAGCACCAATATTTTCAGATTTATCTCCCCTTGAACTTAAATTTTCCTTAAAAAATACTATTTTTACTGTTACTTCTTTATTTCCTAAGGGATCAACCTCATACTTCAAATAAATGTACCTTATCATCATCCCCATCTTATGTGACAAGGTTCATAACTCTAGCACCAATATTTTTAGATTTATCTCCCCTTGAACTTAGAATTTTCCATAAAAAAATACTATTTTTTGCTGTTACTTCTTTATTTCTTAAGGGATCAACCTCATACTTCAAATATATGTACCTTATCACCATCCTCATCTTATGTGAC